CATAATTGTTAGGCAGAGAAAAATTTCCCACCGAAATGTCTGAAAAACAGGAACACAAAAGAAAGAAAGGCTTTGACCTTTTCCAGATTCTGTAACTTGTTACTGGTTGGCCCGCAGGGGGATTTCATGGCAGGGGGGCAAGATGTTTACTGTTGCCATGTTTCCAGTAACATTACAAGTGGCTCCGGATAAGACTGGCAGCCAAATGCCTACGCTGTCAAAGTAAATAACTTTTCCATTTCAAAGAGAGCTATTCCAATTAAGGGGAAGAAGGATGGAGCAACAGAAAAGGGAAGGGAAAAGCCACAGAAAAGAACTGGAAGCGGGCGGGCAGGATGAAGGGGAGGTGGAGACGGAGGGAGATGGAAGAGGAGGAGAAAGGGAGTGAAAGTCGTTGCAATCTTGTCGGAGTGAAAAAGAAAATAGGCGGGGGTGGTATGGAAACAGGAAATCAATTGTTGGGTCAGCGTTTTGCCTTGGCTCTGTTTGCAACCAGACTGAAGCTTACAAGCGTGCGAAGGAGGGAAGAAAAAAAAAAAGCCCAGAGAAAATCGAGACCAGGACCGAAGCTTCGGATCGGACACAAAGATTTGAGGTCAAGGGCAAGAAGAACTTTCCCACTTCCCCTGTGCGACGCTAATCAATTAACAAGTAACGACGGAGGTCAGAGGTCAGGAGGACACGAGTCATGTGAGCAGCAACATGCTGGGAGTAATCAGGTTCTGCTGATGATAGCAGGGTATTCTAATAAAAGCTTATCTATGCTTGTAATGAGATTATAATCCTATAATGGATTAGCGATTCAGAATTCAATTCTTCACTCGACGAGGACCGCTGGACGTCCTGCTAAGCGTCGCTGGGATTTAGCCAAAATTCACAAACAGGCTCCAGGTTCCAAATAAAAACCGCTCGTGTCGGATTTTCTACCAAGAATGTTGAAAAACTGCGGCAGTAAAACGGCATCCTGGACGCGTTTTAGGCGTCTTTTATGGAAGATAGTAAAGGAATCAAGGGGACGTAATGATTCCTTCTAGTCGCAGCAGCGCAGATACGAAAACAAAAATACAAACTAAAGCTGGGCAACATCTTCAGGATTCAGATTAGGTCAAAAAGAAGGACTTGATGTGACCACCAGACCATCCAGCAGTCAGCTTAATTATTGATGAGGGTTTCCTATGACCTAGACTATTGATTGAGCAAATTGCTGCCCCAGTTATTTTACAACCACCATATCATATAGCTGCTGCAGCTGTGTGTGTGTCAGTGTGTGTGTGTGTGTGTGTGTGTAGCTGCGGTTTAAAGGTGAATGGAGAGATTGTGTTTCAGCTGTCATGATGTAGAGAGTAGCGAGCCGTTGTGTCGTATCTCCGTGAATGTGTGAGCATTTGGAGGAACTTAAGTGGCTGTTTATGTGTGTGTGTGTGTGTGTGTGTGTGTGTGTGTGTGTGTGTGTGTGTGTGAGCAGTGATGCAGTCCTCTCATGCTTGTTCCTGTTGCTGTTATTGATTTGAAAAATAAATAACGGATGATTCCTTTGGGGAAATCTTCATATTTTCCTCCTCTTCCTCCTCCTCAAATATTTTTAAAGCAGTGCTTCTTTTGTGAGTCTGTCTCTATAATACAACCTTAGCCTAACCTTAAACCGTCCTCACCCCAACGTTCAGTCGTTCCGCTTCACGAAGACTATAAAGAAATAGATTCCCCACAATGTGCCCGGGTAAACACATTTATTTCTCCTCAGTATGAGTAACACAAATCCACACATCTTTTAATTAATCACACACACTCTGACATGTGAAAAGGTGCTGTGTTTCCTCTCCTGGGGCGCACACACACACACACTCACACACACACACACACACACACACACACACACACACACACTCACGCTGCTAGACGTGGCATCACTCTATCCGGCCGTGCCCCTCCGCACACCGCTGGCGAACGTCAACCCGACACATCTCGCTTCTCCTCCAGATGAGGAGTGAACCTCCTGCGAGCCAGATCTGATTTTGCCATCAGTCCTCCTTCAGAGCTGCTTTCTGCTCTGGCAGACACACGGGGAAGAAACAGGACCTTTATTATCCTTTTCCAACAGTTATAAAAATATTTTTAAGGGCTGTGGTCAAAAAATACAACCTATCACTTATACTGTCGTGTGAAAACCTCGTGCCCCGAGTGAAGCTTTGGATATTAACGTCCACGCTGAGGGTTTACGAGCTCCTCGCCGCCACTGATAAGTTTCGCGGCTGTGTTACGCGCTGATAAGTCCGTAGAAGTTTATATTTTTGACTTTAAAGTGGAAATTAGGCTGTTTTCCTGTTGACGCGCCGGAGCGATTCATCCAAGTGTAGGAAGACGTGAGGTTCTCGTAGCTTCACTTCTTCACGCTTTCGGCAGTGAGAGTAATTACACACATACTGTTGCTTCGTTTATTTAGACAGAAATAATTCCTCTGAACTGAGAATTTCCTTTTTAATCTGGAGCATCAGAGAGATTTCCGTGGATGCCTCCTAGGTTTCAGCACTGTACTCCTGGTTTGCTGCTGCCTGTGTTTTGCTCTCCTCTGAAGCTCTTGAAACACGCTGCTACCGATGCATCGACAAAAATCAGTTAGGATGTAAAATACAGAAAGATTTACCTGCTGCTGATCAGTCTGATAAGCGCTTTGTGACCTTGTTAAGGACTAAGACCTTCATTTATGTGTAAAAGTCCCACATGTTATCTTAAAAGCGTAAGTCTGGGGGCGCCGCTGTAGCTCACCTGGTTGAGCCGGCGTCCCATGTGCAGGGCTACAGTCCCAACGTGGAGGTCATGGGTTCGAATCCCGCTCACGACCCTTTCCCACTTGTCCTCCCCTCATTCTTCTCCCCTACTTTCCTGTCTCTCTCTGACTAAAAACTATCAAATAAAGGCCAAAAAAATAGCTAAAAATAAAAAAAAGCCTAAGTCTGGTGATCTATACTTTATAAAGATCAAATATTTTAGTGTAGTTGAAGCCTGCTGCAGCTCTTTAATTTAATTAAACGTGCTTAATATGGTTTAATTTTAGTCAATCTCATACATTTCTCATAACATAAATAGGCGGTAACATGTAATAATCCACAGCTGAAATGTGCAATGACTACAATGCCTAACATTTTAAAAAGGAAATTGAATCTCCAGTTTTTTGTGCCTTTTTTTTATAGATGTCTTCAGTGGGAAGCCCAGAGCTTGACTTCAGAGCAGACTTTTAGCCTTTTTGATGTCTTTATCATTCACATACATATAATATAAATGTAACTTCAATTTAAATATCTTGAACATCTCTGGAGTTGATTTTTTTTTTGTAATGCTCAGTGAGAACAATGCCATGAGTGAGGATACAGTAGCTAAATGGAAACAGATCTAGTTGGACGTGAGCCCAGTGGGTTAACTGTTCGGCGGATATGCAGCAGTGAAAGCATCTTTGTTTGGCGCGATCCGACTGTTAGGGGGCATGCACGCTCCGTCAAGGGCTGCTGGTAGCCAGAGGGACCACGTGAAGACCCGCTCTGCCTCTGGTAGAAGCATTAATTCATTTTAACTTCTCTCTATCTGCTATTCCCTTTCATGTTTTGTGTGCGTTTCTGCTAAACTCGCGGTTACCTTTGCTGCACCTGATTGGCCGGGGGGGTGGTGGCTGTCGGCTCTAATTTCCTGCTGCGTCCTCCAATCAGGGTGGTCGAGCGTTGTGGTCGCCTTTCCCGGATCGTAGCGGGCCGTTTAAACGTGCCTCACATGCCGTTAGTCTCACGCGTGGGGAAGGCAGCGGTGGAGTATTTAGTGCAGCAGAGGGACCTCGGTGTGGCAGTGTCAGTGATGGATATGGCAGTAGTATCAGCAGTGTTGGCTTTTGCACAAGTGTGTTGTCCACCACTGGGATCTGTCAGACCTGTTCTGCTGAGCCCACACATTCTGCTGGCTCGCTGCTATTGCTGCCGGCCATTTCTTTAATCTTCTGTGTGTGTGTGTGTGTGTGTGTGAGAGAGAGAGACTGAGGGAAAGCAAGCTTGTTTGTCTGAATATGTGCGCAACAGTGTCGTATTACAGCGAAAAGGTCCGTGTTTGCATTTTAATAAAACTCTGTCGGGTCAAATCAGCGTCACCGTCCTCGATGTCGCTCAAGTTTTAGGAGTTTGGTTTATTAATTGTTGGGGAATTAATCAAACAAATGCTCGTTTGTGTGTTATAATGGTTCAAACTTTAACTGAATCTTATAAATCCTGCATGTTATTTCAATTTCCAGTCGCTGTGTGCCAGCAGCAGAGATACTTCCAGTTTTTTTTTACTCTTGATGTTAAACTCTAAATGAGCATCATGGAAAGAGGCATTTTGTTGGCTTCGCCGCCTCGTATCCCATCACCGAATCTGAATCAGATGACAGAGGTTTCGACCTGTGGTGGAGGAGAAGAAAGCAAAAGTGGAGCTAAAGAGGTGGAAAAAAGGAAGAACACAAGAGATCTTTTTTCTTTTCTTCTCCCCTTGATCTTCCCTCCACATATACTTACACATGCGATATACTTTACGCAGGTGGAGTGTCACCCCACTTGCACAGATTGCAACAGATTTGTGGTGAGTAGGAGTTAAAAGAGCTGCTGAGTGCAGATTTAGTACCACAGATATTTAAAGAGAACATCCCTTTTATCTGAGGGGACAATTTGCATTATTCATGTTGTGCCTTCTGAGCGCCGAGCAGAGGAGGAAATAGAGACAAAGACATTTCCCAGAATTATTGTTTTTACTTGCAGTCAATGGATTCTTGTTACGTTAACGGCAGATTTACAATCAGTCTCGTTCCCACAGTTTGTTTATGTGTGAAGGAGAGAGAGCGGGTGCATTAAACACTCCCCCATCACTCATTTCTTATTTGCCATTGTTGTAGGTGCTCCGAAGAAGAATGCAGCCATTATATAGCTGTCGATGTGCTGCTTCAGCACGATGCTCATGTGTCTGTCTCTGCTCTTTTGTCTCCAGTGTGCAGGGCAGGCTTCTACAAATCCACCCTCGGGAACATGGAGTGTTCAAAGTGTCCGCCGCACAGCTTCTCGCACCATGAGGGGTCGCTGCACTGTGGCTGTGAGAAGAACTACTTCCGCGCTGAGGGAGACCCCGCCTCCATGGCCTGTACCCGTAAGTGTTGGTTAGCATTAACACGTCGGGCTGATGCATCATATAAGGACTCAGCGGCTCCGTGATGTGTCCCGTGATGCTCTAAATGCCTTCAGACGTCTTCAGATGCTTTTAGGAATCAAGGTTTTTTTTCTAAAATGCTTGCAATTATCTACAAATATCAGTTTTGGTATTAATGGTATCAAGATTATGCAATTTCCCAAATCACCAGCGGAAACAGTGACAAAGAGGGTTAACATTCCTCGTTTGTTTAAAGGTCAGCGGAGCCACGACTACCTGGGAACTTTTTACTACCTTTTCCGCTCCCCGTGTGATGCTCTTTTGTCTCCGTCTGATGCAAATGGATTGCAGATGCCTCCTGCAAGCATTCCAAAATGCATTCCCGCTAAAACTATAAATCACTGCATTCCCTGATGTCAGATTATGAATACATCCATTACTAAGGGGGATAGAGGGAGAGAGAGGGGAAAAAAAAAAAAAACACAGCGTCGAGAACAGTAAAAGAAAAAAACTCAACGCCCACAGCCATAGACAGAATCCTAATTAGAAAGACAGTCACGGCAGGTCCCTGTTGTGATTATCTCAACATCATCTTGTCAACTACGCAAATTTCACCTCATTGGGACAGATTGAGTGATGCAAGAGCTGAAAATGAATAGATAAGTTGTTGGAAGATAATGATCATAATTAGGGATTTTACTGTTAACGGTGCGACGGAGGTTGTTTCAAGTTGACTCTGGAATTTTCCACGTGTTGGCAGGAAAATGTCAGGGCAGGAGAACATTTAGCAAAGAAAAACTGTGACATATACCTCCGATTGTTCAACAGCATTTCAATCTATTCAACGCGAGCCATTTCTGTAACAGCTGTACAAACACCACAGCGCCGTATAAACCACAGTTCATCCGCTAATTAAAAATGCATCATCGCGCTGCAGCGAATCCAAATTAGCACAAAAATGTAAAACACGTGCCGGTCCACCTTGCCGATCGGTGCAATCAAGAGGGAGGAAAACAGAGAGGCTGTGAAATCACCAAAATATGAAGCTGCAGAGGATCGAGGATGCACGTGAAGGGCTGCAGCATGCATGTACAATATGATGCACAACAGTCAGGAAGTAGAAGTAAAGTGATCATCAGTTATAGCCAGACAAGGCAGCACCAGTTGTCCTGGTTGCATTTATTGAAAGATCGGTTCAGGCATCTCGATCAACTTGTGTTGATTCATGTTGAGCAGAAAGATGCTCCATGAAGGTGCTGAGCTGTGATTGTGATTTATACACTGATCTTACAGCACTTTGAATTTACTTTGCTTCAGATGATAATCTTGACGTCTATGCATTATGTTGACATTTTGAATCCGCTCCCCTGCTTGTATACGTGCACACAGCTGTGCAGATAACAGCTGATGTGACTCACTGGTCCTAAACTTTAATGTGGTCGGTGCAATTAGTAATTAGTTGGATTTAGCCGTTTGGTTTCCGAGGCCTATCTCCAACATGCTTCAGGGGGCTGCGTTTCACTTTGAGGAACTTTTGGAGTTTTGTTCTTAGATTTCAGACCCATCTTGGATTTGCTTGCAGATGCCATTATCTGATGTTCTTTACAGCTAAGGTTTCCTCTTTGTTCTCGCCGGCACAAACACATAAAAGACCGTAATGCAGATTACTGAGACAGGAGCTATGCAAAGTTTGGAAGTGAAGTAAATTCTTCAAACAAACTAAACAAAGCATTTTATCTCAAGACACAATCCAGTGAGCCCATTTCAATCTCTCTCCCTTTCCTCCGCCTGCTCAATTTCCCAGCTGAGTTATTTGGCAGTTTTGTTTTGTCCTCCGTGTAATTAGTCATGGCTTTGATATAAGAATCCGGAAATCTGTTTGTAATAAGACATTTTTACTTTTATATGTCAGTCAGACTTTGACAGAGACTCACTTTTTCTTTTTCAGACCGAGGCTGTGTCGTGCTCTTTTCTTCTCTTAGTGATTCGGAAACAGAAGAAGAAAACAGACAGACGCGAGTGAATTCGCAGACTTTGTGATAACTCAACCCTGATATTACTCTAATTAAACTACAATACCAGCTGTTCTTGTGTATACATTGCACATCACTCACGCCGACAGCTTCCTTAAATGCATACGTCAAATTAAGTGCTCTGTGTTAGCAGATAACAGACCAGGATAAAATGACAAATTGCCTTTGAAAAGTGCCACTTATTTGACATTAGAAGAAAAAAAAGCAAAAGAAGACAACACCTCTAATGGAATAAACACATGCCTCAGCCATAGCTAGGTGTAGGAGGACATCTTGCTCCTCTCTTTAAGTCCCATTAATGTACATATTAAAATAATCAACACTTTAGCTGCTCCAACATTGTGTCTCAAAAAGAAATTCAGTAAAATTACCATTTGAGAGGACGTTTAATCCTTACGGTTCGTCTTACTTGCTCTGTGCTGTTAAATCAAACTCTTTGTACCGTCAGCCTGCTGATTGATGCTCATACTGCTGCTCCACTTCCTCTTACTTTGCACTCTCTCTTTTCTTCTATCATCTTCCCACTAATCACCTTTTACTGCCCTGAAACTCTTCCTCTGTAAATCCAACGACCTCCTCCTCCTCCTCCTCTTCATATCATCTCATCTCTCCTCTGTTTTTCAGGACCTCCTTCAGCTCCCCGCAATGTGATCTCCTCCATCAACGAGACCTCGGTCATCCTGGACTGGAGCTGGCCGGAGGACGCCGGAGGACGCAGGGACATCACCTTCACCGTCCTCTGCAAACGCTGCCGAGGCGTCGCCGCCAACGGCAGCAACAGCGGCACCCAGCGCTGCGAGCCTTGCCGGAGCAACGTCCGCTTCCTGCCGAGAGCCGCCGGCCTCCACAACACCACGGTGACGGTGGGCGACCTGCTGGCCCACACCAACTACACGTTCGAGATCGAGGCGCTGAACGGCGTGTCGTCGTTCGCGCCCAAGATGAGGCAGTACGCCGCCGTCACCATCACCACCAACCAAGCTGGTGAGAAAGCAGACGACTGACGACATGCACTCAGATAATCAGTAAAAACAGGCGATCATTTCCAACCACGTATCTTTTAAACAGACGCTGCAGCAGGTAATTTCGCTGAGCAGCTGATCGTTGAGGGTTTATGCGTCACTGAAAGGAGCTGACTCATTGAGGTAGAAATGTCAAGTGTTCTTGACTTGAAGCTGCGATTCCCAACTCTTAGAAATGATCTTACATTAACAAGCGCCTCCGACCCACTCACAGGCAGCTGAGTGCATCCTAAAGGAGAATTTTTTTGTTTATTTCAACATGGCATGTTTCCCATTAATGCTTTCTGAGGGAAGCTCGTTTTTACATGAATCACTTCAGGTAGGAGGTGCTCGCAAATAAACACAATTAACTGGATTGCAAAACCTGATCTGCCAATTTCTGGCTTTTCCATCTTTTCATGCCCACAGACGAATACAATCTGCTCATCAGTCAGTCAACCTATTGATACCAAGGCTCATTGATTATCTCTCGTCTCATCCCTGACTCTAATGCAGAGTTTTCTGGAATGTCAAACATGCCAGAAGTTGGGTTTCTATCTGGTATGTAGGATGAGTTTCTGAGTTTAATAAATCTCTGCAGCGCTCCCACTACAGCAGGATCCACATATTCATCACTAGTAAAGGAGAAGAGACTTCAAATGTAGGTTTCTGACGTGTAAGCTGCCACGTACAGAACAAGTTACTGCAGTCAAACTGAGGTCAGCTTCAGGATGAGTCCATCAGAAGCTGTAGGAACGTGTTTAGCTTCTTCTGGACGGTATTATTTTTCCACTGATTCGAGGACATTCTTCGTAGTGCACCAAACCAATCCGACCTGCCACCGCTCAGAGCTGCATTATTTGCCTCCAGCAGCAGCTAAAACAATCAAAGTTTACTTTTTAAACTAACTTCCACTCAGTGGCATTAATCATTAAGGGTAGAGAGCTGAAAGCTGTAGGCAGCGTTAAGCAGCAATTTATAAATGTTTAATACGTATTAAAGCATTTCTCCTACAAGACTTTGTTATCTATGTGTTTCTAACATATAGCGCCTTACAGGGAGTTCACTGTGGGTTGTTCATTTAAGATATATTCATTTATTTCTTTAACACGTCTGAGACCAACTCTGCTCTTTTACTACACATCAAGAAGGAACAACATGCATCTAAGATTAATGTCAAAGATGGAGCAACTCCATGACTTAAGGGTTTATATCTGAACTGCAGATTGAGTCCAGCCCATTAGCTTATTTCTCACCATTTTTGTAAACCTAACAGAGACATAAAATGTCCCAAAACAGCATCGAATGCTTAAAAAAAATTATTAAAAACCACGAGATACATAAATGTATGCAGATATCTTCTATAGTAGCTGAGGAGTGCTCTTACGTGATCTCTAAAGCTAAGTTTAAGATCAGAAAACAGGCAAAACTGATTGAAGAACCGACCGTCAGCATTTGTTCGGCTTATTAAGGACCTCCAGTACTTTAAGGAAAACAAGACTTTGTGTAGGAAGTAGCAAAGGTTTGTCTTCTCCAGCGTCACATCAACACTTCGTAAAACTTTTTCTTTCTAATTGTGGAGTCTGAGGAGTTTTCAAGGTGTGATGAGTCAACTCAACTAAACCAATCAAGTCACCAAATGATCCTTCAGACTGAGCTGCTTGATTAGTTACCGGTATATGAACACTGGCTTTAGGGGGACGCTATGGAGTAGATGGTACTCACACATGAAGAAATATTTTTCACCTGAACATAATACCACAAGTGTGTGAATAAGAAGTATAGCAACGAGCTAACACACTGATAGCATTCTCACCCTCTGTCTCCCCCTCCATTTAAATATCCTTATCATATAATACAGCGGTCCGATGGTTTATGTGCCCCAAACACATGCACTCCAGCCATCACCCTGGACATTTACAAGACGATCCCAGGCCGCTATTCTCTTGTTTAACGACCAGGATCAAATGTCTCCCTCTTTCGGAAAAAAAAATAGCCCCTCCTTTTAACAGACTCTTAACGTGAAGATGGTCTCCTAAAACTCCCATCAATCTTTTTATACAAATATCTCTCCACACATCCAGCCCTTAGAAGAGCAAGGAGGCAAAGGGAAGTAGTGCTGTGAAATTCCAAGGGTAAAATAAATCTAGCTGCAGCAGAAAGTGCCAAACCTCAGAAATCCCTGACTCTAGTCAGGAATGTGCAAAGGTCTCACTCTAGTTCATCAACTTATTTTTCCTTTTCCCTTCTCTCTGCACTCCTCTCCTACACACTTTGCCGATAGTTTTCTGTCAGCTGGTCTTCTTTCACCCGTGTCTCTTCGGATGGACACTGAGGATTTTTCCTTCTACCTGTCACTTTCCAAACCTAAACCGCACCCTGACATTCTCCTCATATTTATGTGGCTTTTTTTTTTTTTTCTTCCAAACCTTGAAGGCTGATTTAGCACTTGGAAGGTTGTTTTCGACCAAAGTGAACAGATGGGAGTCTCAGTCATAAGTCGTCATACGGCAAGGTCAGTCTCCATCACATGGGTGATGATAGGCAGATGGCAAGAGCTATGAATTTAGACTGAGTGGTCAAAGTAGGTATGCCTTGAAACTGAATGTCGTGAGACTCGTTGTACCCGAAGCCCTTTGCTTGCTGTCCATGTATTATTTCAAGAGTGTATTATTCTACAGGTTATTGGGAGTGTATTGGTTCAGTCACTTAAGGAGTTTTATCTTTTCTAAAGTCTATAAAGTCATTATTGAGACAACTGAAGAATGACACCAAAAAGAAAGAAGCATTAACTTAAAATATTAAAGCAGCGCCAAGCTAGTTGTGACAGCGCAGAAGAATTACTTCACACCTGGGTGTGCTTCACGACTAATGGTGCAAAAAGTAGAGAGATGGAGTTAAACTCACAGATTTTCTGACTTGAATTCTCAGGCTTTTTTTTTTTGCTGTGCCTGGATTACAAAGTAAAAGGATTTAAACTGTAAAAAACAGGCAGCCTCTGCACCAGCTGATGCTTGTTTGTCTTATTTCTCTGAGTCACATACTGTGTCTATGCATCTGTGTGCATTTATTACAGCACCTGTTGTTCAATTCCAAGAGCTGTGCCTCTGTCTGTGTCTCGGTTACTCGGTAAAGCGCTGATTTCTTTGTTTGGACAGTTTTTCAATTATGATGATGACCGCACAGCTTTAACCTGAGAGTGTTCTCCAAGGCAAACATACGGCGACGGTGCACACACAGTGTAAAGATGAATACATTCAATCACACTCATGCAAACTTCCTGAAGAAGAACCTCGTCAGACTCTGAATGTGCAAATGCGACGGCCTGTTTGTACAAACATCACACACACGGACAGACGTCTGCTGTGTTTGCTCTGCGTTGTCACAACTGGTCTGAACTATAAGTGACAGGGGACAGACGTGACCTCTTTTAAGTGACAAAATGAGGATGAGCAGTAAATATAGATTTTGTGTGTGTGCGTGTGTGTTCACTGAAGATAAGTGAGGACTCAAGTAATTTATTGCTGTAACGAAAAAGGTCAGAAGGGATTAAAAACCACAATTTAAGAAAAAAAAAAAAGACAATTCAAATGAAAGAGATGAGCCACTTTAGCAAAGCTTTGGAGTCTTCTGTTGGTAAGCATGATAATCTGTGTGTGGCTAGTCGGGGGAATTCTCTCTGCGATCTGAATATATATTAGATTTGAAGAGGGCTTATCAACACGGAGAGGCCTGCGTGTGCTCAGAATCTTGAAAACCATCTTAATGTTTGAGTGATCATCAGGAGTGATGGATCTTGGTCTTTCCATATCATAGATCAGCACACACACACATGCAGATTTACACACATGCATGAAACACCTCGACCCAATATCCGCCGTACACACTCACGCTCCTCCGGCCTCTCTCTCTGACAAATATCTCAGCCTGCAGCTGCACACTCTCCATCAGCCCTCAGAGTTTACAAGGATTAGGTATGTCAGTGCACCAGCCCCACCCGTCTGTACACTTTCTCTCGGATAGGCGCACACACACACACATATAGATGCCAAAGCTGTTAAAAGCTGGATTAAGTGTTTCCCTGGGAAGGAGCAGTGTGTCCGGGCTGCGCTGTCAAGGTGCTGTCAGATAGCGCTCCTCCTCCTGCCTCCTTTGCCCTCCACTTGTTGTCATAACTATGCAAACAACAGAGTGATGCACATGCAGAGCAGTCCAATATGCAGTTGAACTCCACCAGGTACGTGTGAAGATGCATGCACGGGCAAATCCTTTTCTATTTTTTTCTTTTTTGTGATGATGAAGTTGTTGCAGCACCTCTTTTCATTGAATTCTTTAACATTATTTCTACCGTCTCCTCCAATAGCCTTCCTTTGTTGCATGGCATACTTAGACGAGCTCCAACAGCTGCGTCGCGTCCCTCAAATCACAAGTGAATGACAGAAGGCCCGTTTCTGAGAATATTACAGGCCTGGCACGCCGTATCAGCGTTACAGTTATGCATCATACAGAAACAGAGAGTGACAGCAAATTAAGTGCTTGGCAATAGACATGCAGAGAAAGATAGAAAGGGAAGCGTGGAGAAGGAAACGGAGGAGGAGAGGAACTTGAAGCTGCCTCCGAGCGACCCAGACGCAGTAAATCATTACCACCATAAACCACAGAGCCAATAAAAAGCACAGCCTCACCCCGCTATCAGAACCAGAGGGAGAGGAGGAGAGGAGGAGCAGGGGGTATAGAAACAGATTCTCCCCATCTGGATTCATTACAGGAAGAAAAAATAACTTCCCGCGGAAACACACACCAGCGTATGTACACACACTCTAGACGCATTCTGCAGCCATATAATCACAATCAAGAAAGGCTTGAACATTTCAAAGACAAACATGTTTTTTCCTGTGGTCTAATAAAATTAAAAGTCGATGCCTCAGATGCCGAGCTGGCCCCGGAGCTGCCTGGCAATTAGAGAGCAGTAAAAAAGGGAAATGAGAAAGGGAGCGAAGGGAGAAAGAGAAGGAGACGGGGTGCAGGGCTTGATAGAGGCAGAGATGTGCTGAATTTCTAGATTGGGACCATGTGAAGTCCCCGAGGCGAGGCGACGCATGGGTGAAGGATTGGCAAGGAGGGCTGGCCAGGGAGAAAGAAACAAACCAAAACGAGATGGTGACCAGCACAGAGAGAAAGAAGATTGGTTTCAAATATGAAATATAACAAGTTTCGCCTAAAAAAATGCAGTGGAAGGATGGGCACAGCAATAAATACGGAGGATGAATTATTGTGCTGTGGTAAGAATCTGTTTCCTGCGATCTAAACAAGATCTCCCAAATGTTTTTGTGTAAAATTTAATATACAGTTGAAAGGAGGTATTCTTATCAGAGAACTGTGGGAGTAACCGAGCACAGATTTGTGTGTCTTTTATTTTGTATGCCTGTTATTTCTCCTTCTTTTTCTATTTAAAGATGGCAGGGTGGTTTTTTTGTTTGTGTTTTTTTGCTGTGTCTGCTCAGCTATGGTCACTAATGTATCGGATAACAATGACTCTGTTCCTCAGCATTTAAAACTTTATGTTTGCCTCGGAAAGAGCCATTTTAGGATCGTATATATTCACGGTTTAATCTGATTTAATACTTGATTTTATCTACAGTAAGACAGATATGCAATCCAGTAGCAACAGACAGTTGTTCCTATAAAACAAAAAACAACAACATGCTGCTACTTTGAGGTTCGGTTTAATCTGTACAGGTGCAGATGTGGATGATATTAAATAAAATTTAATCAGCATACCTATTTCAAAACAGAAACACTTTTCAGTTTACAGTGAGATGGGAAAAGTTTTTTATGCTTTTAAAATGAAAAGCTCCCAGAAATGTCAGCTGAGGACAGCTTTTGATTGATTTGATTTCGTGGGTGGAGGTGAAGTCGTCTTGTCTCAGTGTTGTTCACAGTATTGCTTACACAGAGGTTAAATGTACCGGTGTGTCCCTCTGAGATTGTGTGTTTGTTTGTGTGTGTGTGCACATGTCAGTTGTATTAGTGCACATTGTCCTGTTCCAGTCACAACCCCGGGCCACAGCCTGTAATGTGGCCCCACCAGGCAGCAAACTGAATTAGGCTGGCAGGAACTACAGACAATTGCCAGGATTCAACACCGGGGACTGAACTTCCACTGAACCTCCTATAAAGGAACTCACTCTGTCTGTCTGTGTGTCTCCTGCCCAGCTCCCTCTCCAGTAACCGTGATCAGGAAGGAGAAGACGTCTCGTAACAGCGTCTCCTTGTCGTGGCAGGAGCCGGAGAGGCCCAACGGTATCATCCTCGACTATGAGATCAAGTACTACGAAAAGGTGGGTGCAGAATGTGTCCCTCTGAGCCTCTCTGGACCTCGTTTGCCTTTGAGCAAGGCAGCAACCTGCATTCTGAGGGGCGTTTTGGTTCTCCCTGAGAGTAAGATGAGAAGGCCGTCGCCGCTCTCGGCATATAAAGGCGAAGAGATTTATTATTTTCAGACGTATCCAGCCTGGCTGTGTCTGCCACGGCTGTTTTAAAGAGAATTGGTTACTGCCTTCAAAGATGGCACCACATTAATTCCTTTGAACATCTCTCACCGTGTGTGCCCAGCGTTCCTCCTCACGCTCGCACCTTCTGAGGCCGGTAGAGTCCATTAGAGTCCCTCTCTAGCAGACACAGTTAGGTGCACGCACGCCTAAAACTTCCTCTTTCCAAGCCGATTGAATTTCTTCTGGCTGCGCGCACGCACGAATGGAACAACGTGATTTGATTACGCAGCCTAACCCTAAACTTTCTGTGCCTTCCAAAGGTTATTGGAATTAATGGATACAGTTCTGATAATTCTGTTGTTTTTGGGCGATTTGGAAAAACTCATTCATTGTTCAACAGCCGCTCCTTTTCTAATCATGGGCCAGTGAGAGTCGCACGCTGCCAGGAGCTGCAGTACCAAGTGTGGCCACAAGAGCTTAGAGCTGGACATGGAGGTTTACTTTCACCCTTTTCTCCTAATTGCTGCTGTATTTACTATTAAAAGTGGTATAAACCTTTTAATCTAACTCAAATAGAAGGGTTTGTTTTGTTTTAAAAGAAATCTCTCTATCAACGCATATCGAAAGTGCACGAAATTTTGTGTTTCTCACTTTTAAGTCCACACTCAATAACTCTTATCACACTATATTTGGCTGCTTTTATAAATTCAGTCATGAAGTTGTGCTTATATTTGAGTAAAGGTGAATGTAATAGTTGCAAATGTAGTTATTCTGCTATCCTGTTAGTTATACAGAGACACTAAAAAGGCTTTTCGTGCAAAGATGACATTAAAACCAACACTTTCCATGATATCTTATTGCAGCAAACCAAAAGCATTTTTTCCCCCTCGACCGTCCTCCACCCTCTCCTCCTCCTCTTCTTCTTCTTCTTCTTCTTGTTTTTCTTTCTGTCTCCATTCATCTGTTCCCCACTTCTCCTCCTCCTGCTGTCCTTTATTTTTTACCTCTCATCTCGTGTTTCCATCTTCCCCTCCGTCTCCCATGCTGTCCTCCTCTCCGGTCCGCTCCTTAATGGAGACAAGTTTTATGGCAGACAGTAAATGCATCTGTGGGGTCCCTCATTCCTCTGTGAGGGGAAATTAGTGCAGAACGAATTACACTGGCTTTCAGCACCAATGCAGTGCTATGGCTGACATTTGATGGTGAAATTAGCCGTGGATGCAAGTTTAATCACTCTGGCAGATTCAGTGTGTGTATATGTGTGTGTGTGTGTGTGTGTGTGGGGATATGTGTGTGTCCCAGATCAGTTTGCTTGAATGCCAACAGTGGCCCCTAATCTCTTGATTAGTAGGCTGACAGAAGCTGTTTCCTCTCTAAACTCTGGTCTCTGCTCAGCCATCCTTACCTAAGACGTTAAAACAAGGCCAGAAAACAGTGAGAGGAAAAGTTAATGAGTGATACTGGGTCACTGCAGGTCCCGTTCTCAGCTGTGGTTTTGCAGTTGCACACTCATCACAAATGCATGTTAATTTAAAAAAATAAAGGACAGGGGGAAATTGAAGGGTGGAGTTCGAGGAAGAATCTTTTATAAGGACGAACCTCTGGGGATTTTCAGTGCTCCTCGGTAATCGCCTCGTCTTTCAGGAATTACTGGAGACACACAAACAGGCATAAGGTTCCCAGAGGATTCTCTACAGCGGCCATACATACCCGGGGATCTTAAACCTCTCACAAAAGGCTCTCCCATGCAGAAGAGCAAACTTGGACAAGCGAGGGAGACCCCCGTAACCTTCCAGGATGGAGGCCTCTTCGTGTGGCAGGCAGAGGCACCTAGCATGCCAAGGATCAGGGCCACGGGAGGACAAACGCTGGGGCACGAATTCCCCACACCAAGACCACACCGTGACTCACTTATGAGACAGAGAGAGGCTTTTAGAGACACATACACGGACACGCACAGACATAATTGCATATACACATAAACAGGATGGTGAAATGGAACACAAAAACAGACCGACAAAGATTAAAAGAGAGAGCTTTTTTCTTGCTAAGAAAGGGATGCTCAGATTTGCGACATCAGCCAGACTTTCTGCTTTTCTGCGGTTTTCCGTCTGTATTTACACAAGTTTAAAACAGACATGCACAGTGTAGACAATCATGTAATCCAATAGCGATCTGCAGATGACTCCGGCTCGGCTTCTGTCACTGCAGAGAAGTCGACGTTTTGCCAACAACCACATAACATTACTCAAACCAAAATACTTATGCAGTCGGCAAAAATCCACAGCGGAGCGCCGCGTTCTCGGGGTCAGGCTGGAAGTTATACGGTTACAGCGTTGTGATGTTTAAAAAGTCAAACAGCGTTTTGTGTAAGAAGCACGACAAGGAAAAGTTTTAGAGCAGCACTGTCAAGGGTGAAGTATTTCATTATTAACATGTAAATAAACACGGATGTTCCTACTGGGAGCTCAGTAATGTGTCTCCTTAACTTCTTATGCTTAAGTTTCCTGCCAATTAATTAAAAAAATAGAGCTTAAATCATCTGTGTGCGTCAAATAAAACACCAGAGCTACATTCTAAACCATGTTAGTGACAGAAAATAAAGCAGAAGCCAGCAGGAAAAACAATCTTTTTCTGAAGGAAGCAGCAGAACACAAAGGCGTATAAATAAACAACAATAAGTGGAATTTTCTGATTCAGATTCCAGGGACTTCACTTAAACGTGTGACGGCTACGCTGCCCTGAAAAACAATCTTAAAAGTCATAGCTGTGAAGTTTTAGCAGAACTTCTAAGATTGATTGATTTAAATTAAAGTTAAATTTGGATAAAGTTAAGACATATTAATACAATAAATAAACACTGTAAAACTGGAAAGCTTTCTGCAGTAATCCTGACCAGATACGACTGCAGCCACTATAATAATACTTTAAAGTGATCCAGCACATTATTACATCCAAATAATAAATAACATTTAACTACAATTATCTTCTAAAGCTGTTGTTAATTCTCATCTGAGCATGTTGAGGACGTCATTCTCTTCTATTAGCTGTACGTTCGTGTCATTTGTTTTTCTAAAAGCTGAAATTTGAAGGATAATTAAAATGATGTTTGTGCAAAGGGTCGCGAAAATTAGCCGCTGACGAGGCTGAGACGACCCGGCCAGCTCATTATTTTTAATGAACCACACCTAGCCGGTCCTTTGCCTCCAGCTTCGCCCGCATTGTTCTCACCAGTACAATCACGAAGCCAGAAGGCTCGAATGTCTCAAGCGCTCGGGTTATTCATTTCCTACCCTATATATGGGAATGGTGAGGGAAGGTTTGGTGATATTCTTGGGAATTCCCAACCAGAAGGCTTCCCAGAAGGAGAGAGGTGTTTCATCTTTTGGAAATCCCAGGCTAGCTGCGTGATCTTCCCGTTCCCCGTGAGCGGCTAGAGGACGCTCTGCAGCCGATAAGGCATTTCCAAGTGCACTTTGTGAAAATAGAATTTGTGGGAATACACGTCGCTGATTGTTTTTGCATGTTTTATCGCCGTAATCTAAAGAGCTGAGAGAAAGAGCTTCAAATCCGCTTTAATTTAGGCTGTTTATTTAGTCTTAGACAAAAGGAATGCGGCCTGAAACACTGTATTTACAAGACTTCTGCTGTACATCTCCTGTTGTGGGGCCGGTATGCATTTGCATCTATGACTGCGAGTGTGTGTGCGTGTGTGTGTGTGTGTGTGTGTGTGTGTGTGTGTGTGTGTGTGTGTTATACAAGCTATAATTTGCTCCAGCTTTGTTTACATTATCAAAGCAGAGCGCAGCACAGAGGCCAGATTAAATTCTAGCAGTGTTCTGGTGAGACACACACACACACACACACACCTACACACACACACACACACACACACACGAGTGGACGATCCACAATCACGAGCTTGTTTGGCTGCGGCCTGCGTTGTGTAGAAGGGTGCGACCTGAGAGTCTTCCTAAGGTGCTTGTGCCACACCTGTGTGTGATTTTTTATTTTTTTTTGTGGATCACATGCTGTCCTGAGCGCCGAACAGCGACGAGCCGAGAGAGATTTATGGGCGCGATGAAGCGCCGTCGCAGTGCAGGTCTGCTGTATCAGTTACCTCCTCACACACATACCAGTTTAAAAAGCTTTGTGCACCATAAAACTCTGATCCACTCCGTTAATGGGCGTGAAGTTTCTTTTGGACACTGATTGTGTGCATATGTGTGTGTGAGTGTGTGTGTGTGTGGACCAGTATTTATGCCTGTTCAAATGAGTGCCTTTTAATAACTGGGTCTATTAAATGAGGAACTGACAATGCCTGAACATGGTTTGGCCTTGAATGAGTTTTATGAGTTTGGCTAAGTTGCAGAACATGTAGCTCATTTTAAGGATTGTTGAAGTCAGCCCTAACAGGTCGTCGTTACTGTTCTTGTTCCGTTTTCTCGCTGCGTTCGTTTCTTAGAAATCAGATCGATAATAACGCGATCGAGGTCCCGTGTGAGGCCTTGACAAGTCTATCAGCTCTTACCTTTGATAGTTCAGATGGGCTGTGAGGCACAAACACGACATTTTGTTCAAGTGATCATTTCCTTTGTACTCATATATTCTAAAGTAAAAATCACGTAGGCTGTTGTTTTCTGTTTTTATCGTCTCATTGTGTCCCTCAGAAAAATCCACACAATGTAAATAAGTCACAAATAGAGCTGCTTTCTACCTTTTTTTTTTTACCTCTTCATTCATCCACCCCCTGCCTTCTCCTCTTTTCTCCACCATTTTTCTACCCTCCACATCTGGAAACAATGTGCCGGATCCAGAGCCGGTGTGTAAATCCTCCTGTTGTTTTATCAGTGGAGATCAGTAGGAGAGAAGTCATAAAATATAAAAGGGATAATTCATCAGATTGGGAAGAGAGCTGTCAGAATGTCTGGGATGTTTTCGTGTAAGCATGAGCACTGATGTTAGAAATGGACGAGTCCACATGGTGCTGTACTGGATATGCATCCAATCAAGTATCATAAAGATGGATTTAAAACATAATTCTCATTCCCTCTTCTTCTGTCCCTCCTCTGTTCCTTTGTCCTCCAGGAGGAGCAGGAGACCAGCTACACCATCCTCCGTGCTCGTGGCTGTAACGTGACCCTGAACGGTCTGAAGTCCAACACGGCCTACCTGCTCCAGATCAGAGCTCGGACCGCCGCTGGATACGGAGCCAGCAGCCCCAGCTTCCAGTTTGAGACCAGTCCTGACTGTAAGTCCAGCAGAGAGTCGAGGCTCTTTGTTCTTTGACTGAAAAATATACTGTAAAAAGTAAATTCAACTGAACTGATCATATGGTTTATGCTGATTAATCACAGTACAGATAATCGCCGTTTAAATACAATTAAACTGGCGGTGATTAGTAAAGCGATTAAGACGTTATGATCAGATGATGCGTGCTATTGTTTGACCTGCTTTTAGTGCTGTGAACCACCAGCAGTATCTGGGCAGCTGTTGTATTTACTCAGTGTGAGTTCATTTTCACTGCAGCACAGCCAGGACGAGAAGGACAGAGAACCAAGAAATGGATTCTGGGCAGTGCAATATAATTATAATCAGGGATGCACGATATATCAGTGACCACGTCGGTATCGGACGATATTTTTCCCATATATCGGTATCGGTCCAATGAACAAATTCAGCTGATACTTGTCTAACATCAGCGCCTTCGTCTCTAGTTTTGATATCGCTGCTAGTTCACAGATGATTTTACTTAAATGGTCCTGGTCCCTTAAATATGATAAAATATGTTTTACTTTTGTTATGTAAGAAAGAAGACTGTGTGGTCCAGTTTGGACTTCTTTTGAATAGTTTTCTCACAGTGCTGACTTAAACTCATTTTTCAGTGTGAACAAAAATTAAATATCGGCATCGGCAATATCGGTTATAGGCGATATCAGAAATCTTAATATCGGTATCGGCCAGAAATTTTTATATCGTGCAATTATAATGCCATTAATCATAAAATAGATAGGATTATTACTTACATTTTAAATGTGTTTATTAGTTTAGCCAGTTCAGCCAAAAAGACTGAAATTACTAATGGCTTCCTCCTCGATGCCTCGTTGAGCTCAGAATGTTAAGATTTTTACAATTTATTTTGGTGAATTTTTAAATCTTAAGCTTAAAGTTTCCTGATGGAACGGTGCATCAGATGAGTAGTTCAAGGACCATCATGAACTCCCTGCTTTTTCAGTATCTAGTTCTGATAAACAGTGACATTTTGGCAGGCATTTAAACACAACATGCCCTCCAAACCTGCTGCTGGTGGGTTTTGGGAGTCAGAGGGTTAAAAGTGGAATCTCTGTGCTCAGTGATGTAACAGCTGCTTTAGAAGCTTTTCCCACTTTGACGAGAACAATAGGCTTTCAGGGGGCACGCATTTCTACTGGCGTTGGTCAAATTTAGACATCCAGGTATTTACTGAGACAACATCAACAACCTTTTTCTGCTCTCTTGGGAACCGACTGAATTGAAGGAATATTTAATCTCGACATACACAGATGTTAAAATAGTACTTTGGCGTAATTGATATTTGCGTTTTCTTAGCGGGCGTGTCATCGCCGCGGGTCGAACAACCGCTCATTAGCCGCTGATCTCTCGTCTTTCAGCAGCCTTCTCCATCTCCAGCGAGAGCAGCCAGGTCGTTCTGATTGCCATTTCCTCCGCCGTGGCCATCATCCTGCTCACCGTGCTGCTCTACATCCTGATTGGCCGGTCAGTCCACCGCCACTTCCTCGTCTTGATTCCCAGTTTAAGCGTTGTCTCCTCCAATTTACCTTTTCTCCTCCTCCTTTTGTGGTAACTGATGATTGTATGTGTGCTTTTTAACAAACTTGACTTTTCTAAATTACATGACACTCGCCGTGAACTCTCAAAGCTTCCCCTTTATTTAAGCTCCTATAAGACGTACTGTAAAGGCCGTGTTGTCTAGGTGTGTGTGTGTGTGTGTGTGTGGAATGTGTGTGGTGATTGCATGCCTGTGTGTGTGGTTAAAGTTGGCAGCCAGTAGTGTTCAGAGAGAGTATAAATCCATGGCACATTATAAGACTTACTGATCCTCTCTTGGCTTATAAGAACTGGGATTACACACACACACACACACACACACACACAAACACACACACACGGCTCTTGCTAGCCTCCAGGCTGGGCTTGTGGGTGAAGTCTTACTGGGAGATGTGGCACTACTTCTGATCTTTCTCTGTTTGGATTGGCAGGTTTTGTTGCCGCAGCAAATCCAAACATCCTGATGAGAAAAGGCTGCACTTTGGCAACGGCCACCGTAAGTAGTGGACTCTGTTTTCTCAGACCCGCTTCAATCCGTCCTTCTCTGCCGACGCTAGTTACTGAGGAGAAATAAACCCAGGTAGCTGGAATATAATGGTTTTTATCTGAACAGGACGCGTCTTGCTCAGAGCATTTTGCCACACCTTGACCAACAGCTGCCGTTAGAGAGCGGAGGTTTCCAGGCTTGATGTGGTTTCAATCCTTTTATTTTTGGTTTGTTTGGTTATGCGAGAAGACAATAATCAAAAGGAGGCCGTGTTGAGATGGAGGTTTGTCGGTCCACTTACAAACCAGGTCTGGAGACTTCATTCATAAAGGGAATGAGTTCAGATTGAGCCAAAACTTCTCCGGAGAAAAGCTCCATTATTGATTTTTATTTTTAAACAGCGAAAAAAAAGTTTCATATATCGACCAACGCAGGTGTTTTATAAAAGCACTTTAGTCTTTTCTTCATTTTCTTGGTCAAACTGTGTTCTATATCTTTTATTTGTTTGGACTACCTTTAACCTCGACCCAGAACTCCCCGGGAACCAAACAGCATCCTGCTTCATGAATAGTCAGGATGGGTCAGATGCTGAGCGTAAATTTTAGCACACGGGGACGACTGAAACCACTTAAAGGATAGGTTTACATTTGTTTGAGTAATTCTTAAAATAATGCTGAAACATTAGCTTTGGTTACATAATAGGGCCCCAAATAATATATCAGCTAACTGAACTTAAAGAGTCTTACTTTATTAAATTTAATTTGCAGATTTAGAGAAACCTGATGACGTGTGTGTATCATCATTTTTTAGTTTTTGTTGAAGAGTTATTTAAACCCATTTAAACTGTTTTACTTGGAGGTGACGTTTAGCCGGCAGCAAGTGTAAGCAGATGTTATTCTAACGCAGGATTTACTGTATCAGCTGGCTACCGCTGAAAGCCCATCCTGACCCGTTTCTGGAAGGAAAATTTTTCACCCAAACGTAATTAATGAGACACTTAAGACTATATCATCTTCAAAGCGTTGCTTTTATTGTGCAGCCTTCGGTAGACATTCATCATCCACGCATACTGAGACGGTTGAGAATCGCTCATTCGGAGGATGTGGGGCCACTGGGACGCCGACAGGGAGGCACGGGGTTTTCAAATGGTCATTAATTGAAGCAACTTTCTCCTCCTCCTCCTGCTGCTGCTGCAGTGCGTCTGCCGGGTATCAGGACCTACGTGGACCCCCACACGTATGAGGACCCGAGCCAGGCCGTGCACGAGTTTGCCAAGGAGCTGGACGCCTCCTGCATCGCCATCGATAAAGTCGTGGGAGCAGGTGAGAACGGGAGAAGGAAAACGGGTTGCTGCACAAACAGATGCTGATGAGGTTATTTTAGGCCGACAAACCAAAACTAAGACTGTGGAAAACAAATATACTAAATTGAGCATGCTTAATTTAGTGTAATAATTACATATAATTCTAAATAATCAAAACTGGGTTCATCATGAAGTCACCAAAAAGTAAATCCAGAAAAAATAGCAAGTAGACAGACCTCTTATTTTCCCCCTCACTCTCACATCACAGTTAGCTTCTTTTACTTTCTTGCTCTTTCACGCTCTGTTTAAATGACAAAGACACACCGAGTGCACAACCACCTGAAGAAAAAAAGCCGAAGTGCACGTAGAACTCCTATATATCTACATTTTCCTAGCAGCAGGCGAGCGATCTGTGCGTCATGCGCTGCACAGCTGGGAATGAGAAAGCATTTAATGCCGCAGCTTGACACGCCTCCTTTCCAGTCCTCACCTATGATGGAGGGAGCGATGGCGAAATGGGAAAACCATCGGCTGGGTCTTCTTTTCTTCCTTGATTTCGTTGCCTTCGTACATTTGCTTTACATTTGCTTCAAACTCTGATTCAAAAAAACCTGATGTTTAATGATCAGTACAACAAACCTCCTCCTCTCCTCTCCTCTCCTCTCCTCTCCTCTCCTCTCCTCTCCTCGTGTACTCCCTGATAACTCGAGCAGGAGTGCAGACGGGAGGGTAATGCATTATGATTCATGTCGAGTGCAGTCAGAATAGATGGAGACTAAAGCACACGGCACATAACAGCAGACCGGTCTCCGGAGCCCCGGCAGCCCTTCACACTGTAAAACTGTCAGGACGGCCTGAGAGTCTAATACCTGACTCACGCTGGACTACGCTGCGCTCTGCAATGCATTTTTCATCGTACGTAGCAGGTACAAAACATACTAGTCTGCACAGGGTTAGTGACACGTCGGCAGATGTTTCTATTCAAATCATATAAAATACAATTGTTCATTCTGATATGAAGAATTAGTGCCATTAGGTTTATTGTAGGATTATTAAAGAATCCATTTTTATTGCAGGAATCATTTAATTTTACAGTAATAAGAATTAACACCTTTAAATCTGCCTAATGTGAGAGAAAAAGTTCCGCCCGTCTCATGAAATATGCATTTAAAGCAATGTTGCAGGCGTAAAAATAAAACATAATTTAACCAAACTGTAATGGTAAATCTTCCCTTAATCGTCCACTATATACCTCCTGCTTTATTATTGTTCTGACCCAGTTGAACCCTAATACCCCCACACAGTAGTTCACACTGACGAAGGCTACACAACAGTGGACTATACATTTTTAATGCGTACAGTGCGCAGCTGAGACCGAGTATATTTATTTTAGTGCTTCTCCATACTGACAAGAAGTTCAACATCACATTGTGCAGTAAGTCTATTTTTATGTGGGAAAGCGGCTAAAATAATGTTCTGTAAACAAAATGACAGGATGGCAGGGCGATTACTTTAGACCCATTTGTCTCAGAATAAAGACGGAACATCTGTATGAGAAAACTATAGATCTGCAGATGCAAAGAGGAGAAGAGGAGGGACTTTGGTTCGCTCCCGTTAATCCACTTTAACTTGTGAAAATTTGAACCAAACAGCCGAGGTGAACATTAAAGCTCGAGGCCACGATGTAAACATTTTCGTCCGTCAGCTTGGCAGCAACATACCACCCATCTGTGTGATTTTTATGAAGCCACATAAGCACTCTGAACAATATACAACATACCTCGTCTTTCTCCATCGTGGCCTCGGCTCCCATCTGTCTTCATTAAACATGTTAACGGCACTTTGATCCGCTCGCCAATCGGTGATTGTGTGTTAAAAGACACGAAACACATGCTCCGCTCTGCTTACACGGCTCAGACTTTAACATCAAAGTGGGATACCTAGCCGCGCTCGTAACAGGAAAGGAGCTGGTGTCCCTAATCAAGCCTCATTAGGCCGAGATCTTCTTTCTCAGAGTGACCACATAAAGAGGTGCCCCGGCCTGGCTCCTCTGTCCACTGCTGAGGGCTACAGGAATGCAGCAGAGCTCCAAAAGAGCAGGCAGGCCTTTTGGTATTTAGACAGGTTGTAATTATTCTGGTTTAAGTTCTTCCAGACCCCCATAGCTTCAAGTCCAGGGTCTGACCCATGATCTCTGAACCAGAGCTGCTGGGGGATATGACTGTACTGGATGCAGAGGGAGAGCTGCATGTCTTAACTCTGACATCACCCAGCATGAGCGCACACTCAATATGCATATACATTATGCTGTAACACACACTCACACACAGATGCACACACTCCACTCATCTTCTACAGTCCGGCCAAAACCCTGTCACTGGGGCTGCCTTTGAAGTGGCCGGTCCACCTACAAAGCCAGTACAGTACCTTATGAACACATGCACGAGTCGGGCCTGCTGTAAACACACACACATCCCCTCAGCAGCAAAGAATGCTAATTGAGCTCTCCCAGAGTGCTTGTTGAGTCATGCTGTGTTTAAATTTGACATAGAAATAAAGGATCAGCCTGCTGTCCGTTCGCTTTGGAGGATTCAGGCTTCGATTCTCCAAAGTCAACAAATGCAATTCCTGATTAATGCGAGTTAAATAATGACAGAAGCAATCAGCAAGATCCTTTTTGATCTGCGTTTGGCTAATTCATTGACAGGCATCTGTAAAAGTTCTACATCGCCGCCACGCCTCGAGCAACAACTGAAGCTCTAAATCAGCGCATGGGCAGCAGTTTGGCCTCATGCTACGCTTGTTAGCACGCTCCTAATCGTGAAACTGAGCTAGCCATAGGTTAAGTGACTACAAAAATCCTCTAATAGATGACAACTGGAACGTGGCCTCACTTTTTGTCCGTGTGTGCTCAGAGGGTTCTGGACGGGCAGCTAGTCCAGTTAGCCGCTAAGCTTGTCTGAAGTGCATCCATGTGCAATTTGCTGCAAAACAGCGAATCCTGAGCATTAAGTTAGTTTTGAAGGGATTTAAAACGCAAGCTTTTGTAAATAATGTTGTGAAATTTAAGTTTGCCACAGTTTTTTGTTCATGCATCTCCACACAGCTGCTGTGGTTTAACCCTGTTCAGGACTTTTGGGGTCTTTTGGACTTCAGGCTGTTTGGTTTAGGTGACAGGTATTGTTTGTTTTTAGAATAAATTAGAATAAAACTTTATTGATCCCTTGGGTACAAGACCTCAGGGAAATTGCTTTATTATTTTTGAAGATTTTTTTTTTTAAATATAAAAAGAGAGGGCTGCAAGGTGGCTCGGTGGTTAGCACCGTTGCCTCGGGAGGTCGCTGGTTCGCGTCCCAGTGAGGACACCCGGGATCTTTCTTCGTGGAGTCTCCATGTTCTCCCCGTGCAGCGTGGGTTCTCTCCGGGTTCTCCGGCTTCCTCTTACAAGGTCCAGAAACATGTTGAGGTTAATTGGTGATTGTAAATTGTCCGTAGGTGTGAATGTGAGTGTGCTTTGTTGTCTGTCTCTAAGTGTAGCCCTGTGATAGACTGGTTACCTGTCCAGGTGAACCTGCCTTCACCCTGAGTCAGCTGGGATAGACTCCAGCCCCCCATGACCCTGGTGAGGATTAAGCGGTGTATAGATAATGGATGGTGCATTTGGAACCAAAAATAGGTCAACTGATCAGAAAATTAATTCAACATGGTATAAAAGTCTGTAATGAATACCAGCACTCATCCAATAGACCCTGAAAGACCTTCTACGTGTTGCAACATGAAGGTCCTGAACAGGGTTAAACACGTGTGACCTAATCACACATGGACTTAATGGTCAACATTCTGACCATGTCTTAGATGCTATTAAAGTGATGCATGACACATATCTATTTATACTAAATGTGTTAACAAGACAATTCAAAATTCAGCAACATATCAAATATCTTCCATTATTTCCTCCTCAGGTGAATTCGGGGAGGTGTGCAGCGGTCGCCTGAAGCTGCCCAGCAAGAAGGAGATCTGTGTGGCCATCAAGACCCTTAAAGGAGGATACACTGACAAGCAGAGGCGGGACTTCCTGGCTGAGGCGTCCATCATGGGACAGTTCGACCACCCCAACATCATCAGGCTGGAGGGGGTGGTAACGCGCAGTGAGTGCGAGCATGACTCACGACCCAAAGGCGCACTGACGGGAACCGACTTCACTTTCATGACTTACTGCTACACAAACACTTCTTTTTTTTTTCCCACCAGAACATCTGCCTGATCCAGTTGTTCCCAGCGTATCACGTTAGGCGTCGGTTCACACTCTGGTGCTATTCTGCTGATTCGTCCTACATGAATTAAAATAATATTAAAATTTTTAGGAGACATGATGTTAAACAGAACAGAACATTTGCATTCACATTCCATCAGAGATCGGGCCTCTCCGGAGTCTTTTTACCGATTCCGGATTTGCAATTGTCTTTGACAAATGGCTCTAAAGTGGCCGACACGTCTGTGAGAGAGCGAAGGAGTTTTATTGAGTTGCTGTGGTGTAAATCTCTGCAGATCAATGTGCTCTGATCAAAGCCTGTGTCCAAAGCGGGCATAAATCCATAAATCCATATCTCTGACTTGCTCCCCTCTGGGCCTCTTTATAAGACTATCATTAGCACACAGAAGGCCTCTTTAAAAAGGGAATGACTGCAGAAAAAGGGGAAATAATGAGTCTGAACTTTGTCGCTGAGAACCGGGCCCGGCCTCTATCTCTCCCCGCGGCACTCGGCTTGTTAAGTAGTTCTGCCAGTGTGGTTATTCTAAAGAGGAGAATGAAATACCTGGAGAACTTCTCTTGTCCTTGATTTTTGCCTCCTCCTCTTTTTTTTTTCTGTCTTTTCTTCCTCCTCCCGTCTTCTTGCATGAACCCAGCGCCTTAATTGCTCCCTTTAATTTATGGCCTTTGAATTTAGGGACTTAATAGCCGGAGTTCTTCTAATCAAAAACAGCAGCACTGTCTAATAAAAAAAAATAAAAAATCAGCAAAGGCAATTACATCATGTTGTATTCATTAATTTAGGAATTTTTAATTTTCTTATGATTTCTAGTTAAGTCTTATTTTTTTGTACGAAAGACCAGAAGTTAAAAAACTGATGTTTCAGGCTCCTAATTATTTATTTGTATTATATATTTATCATTATGTATTAATACTGAGTGTCATTTTCTTTAGTGTTTTTGAAAACGCGACCACTCGAACGCGTTTTGTCTCCGTTAGCAGAACGTTTCCATCACAACGTTCATTTTTGTTCACCAAAAATACCCGAATAAACGTTTTGTGAAGGACACACAAAGTAAAAAAAAAAATACCCATGAAAACTTTTTGCAAAGGGAAGCACATTCGCTCCCACGTTCGGCTTTGTTCCTCGTCTCTTTTCGTTCGGCCTTGAACGCGTCCTGAAAGCGTTCGTGTGAGATCTCTCATCACTGAGACTGTTTCCTTAATACATCTTAAACCGCTCTTCCTATTAATGTTCGGTCGGTGAGAAATGCTGCAATAACACACGACCACGGCTTCGTT